TGTGGGACAGATGAAATATAGAGGCCCTACTTTATTTAAGGAGGATGACCAGTGTGCAGTACAACTTAATAACGAAGCAATACATTTCCCTATGAATTAGAATACATTTTTATATGTAACGAGGATCACTTCTTGATTCTCTATTCTGATCCACTGATCTGCATTTCCATGTTTATGCCAAAACAACCGACTTCATAAGAAGTCCTATTCTGGACTCTAATATCTGGTAAGGCAACTCCCCTCTCATTATTATTATTTTTCTCTTTTCCCAAAGTATTCCCATCCAAGAATATAGTATGTCTGCTACTAATTAAGATTAATTTTTTTCTGAAATTTAATAAAACTCTGTATAACTGGATCTAAATCTTTCTGGTTAAATTTACTGCTAAATATTTTTTATAGTTTTTATCACTATTGTGAATGAAGTATTTTCCCATTTTATTTCTACCTCGTTATTGCTAGCACCAAAAAAAAAAAAAAAAAAGCAAAAAAAAAAAAACACACCACCCACACAAATAAAAAACCCTTATTGGTTTGCTTGTGTTTATCTTATAGTCAGTGGTGTTTCTTTATAAGTATATAATATCATCAGCAAAATAGAGAAATGTATGTGGTATTTCTCAATAACTTATTACATTTTCTTGTATTATTACATTTGCAAGGACCACCAATGACATGATAATCAAACTATCTAGTCCCTGTTTTTAATTTAAATTATTTTAGTATTTTACTATATAGAAAGATATTAGCTATTGGTTTCTGGTGAATGGTCTTTATTTCACTCAAGTAAATTATTTTTATTTTTTTCTTTACTTTGAGGTTTTTTTGTTGTTTTTAACAGCTGCTGAACTAGAGTCCTAGAATCCTTTTTTCTACTGTATTTATTATATAGGGTTAAGTTCATCTGTGAAGAGCACATAAGCCAATGTCACAGTGGCTTAAAACGTAGAAAACGTAGGACTCTTTTTTTCTCTGTTTTTATATAAAGGTAGTAAGTCAAGGTGTGGTAGGACAAACCTGCAAGCCTTTGGAACCAGGCTCCTTTGATCCTATTATTCTGCCACATCAACAAGTAGCTTGTGCCAGAGCCATCTCAGGGTCCATCACCATGTTGTAATTCCCCCAGCTGGGGGAAGGCAATGGAAAAATAAAGGGCAAGTTCCTGCCCTTAGACAAACCTTGCCAAAAGATGACACACACGACTTTTGCTTGCATTAGATTGGTCAGAAATTAGTCCTCTGTCCATGTCTAAATGCATGGGAGGCTGGGAAATAGTCTCTCCCCCTTTTTTTCCCGGCTCAAGGTTTTAAATGAGCATTTTATAGGATTCCACTTTCTCTCCTTGCTTAGCATATTGATTTTTTAAAACTTTTCTTAGTGGTTGCCATAGAGTTTGCAGTATGCATTTACAGTTAACCCAAAATTCACTTTCAAATAGCACTATACTACTTCACAAGTAATGTGAGTCCTTATAAGTACAAAATAATCCTAATTTATCTCTCCTGTTCCTTGTATCATTGCTATCATTCATATCACTTATATAGCCAGGGATAACCATATATATATATATATATATATATATATATATATATATATATATAT